CCCAAAAATCTACTCCTGCTTTGTGCTTCACATTGGGTGCCAACCTCCACACTCGAGGCCAGTGGGTTCTTAGCCTGGCCCATGTTTGGGTCATGTCTTGGAACCAGAATGAATGGAAGATTTTGGAAGAGAATATTCCAAGAATGTTTTAACTTGTTTATTTTTTAGTAGCTAAATGCAGATTTAGAAGAAAAAAGTGTGTATACTATAAGATAAAGAGGAAAGTAGAACAATTTGGAAGAGACCAGAAAAGTATGAGGTGAGATGTGCGACATTCCACTATCCTAAGGTGAGAGGATTAAACTAGCCATATGTTACTGACTGCTGGTTTTCCATTTACTCTCATTGTAACTCTTTATTTTGAGGGAATCTTTCCTTTAATACAAACCTGATTTCTTCTTTCATAAAAGTAATTAAAACAAAGAGATAGATAAATAAATGAGTATAACGAAGAGTTACAATGAAAGAAGAAATCAGGTTTGTATTAAACGAAGGAGAGATTCCCTCAAAACAAAGAGTTACAATGAAAGTAAAACATTCACATATAAATATAAAATTGAAGTATTACCACATAAAGTATCATTATCATAGTTATATAAGTATCATCAGCTATCAACACATCACTTGCAAATCAAAATTTCAGAACTAATAATTCATATAATTTGCATAACATTGACATGAACAAATATGTCATCTCATGTTCACACGAATGCAAATCATTGAAAGCAATCAAAGAAACTGTGTGCACATGAGCTTATGAAGTATACCTCGATCAACTAGAAATACATTGAGAGTACCCTCAAAGTACTTCTGTCCATTATATGTGCAAAATATTTGTACCTGTTTGTCGAATTGGGTAGTCATCATTTTCTATGTTGGATGATGTTGTGAACCTCATCTCTTGTCTTCATATGATAAAACTGTGCATACCTTGAGTAGTCATCAGCAAACATAATTAAATAGTGCATACTGCCCAAAGCAAGAATTGAGCAAATAGCCACACACATTAGAATGAAGAAGATAAGAAAGAGTCACTTCTTTTATTGCCTACCAAAAAGATAATATACAATGTTTACATAATTCTCACACCTCACACTTATGATTAGAAGTGTAGATCAAACATCTTAGGAAGCAAAAATTTCAAATACCATAAATTTGAGTGATCCAACTAAGCATGCCACAAGAAAATCTCAGCTTTATTTTAATCATAGAGCTTCTAGTTGGTTCTACATTAGGATATAGGGGCTAAAATTGGACATAAAATACCCTTTCCTCTTGCTATTTATTGTATATTAAATGAGGTAAAGTGATATTTCAGGATGTATTTATTAGTCTATTAAAAGATAGGAAAATCTTCTCAGCCTATTTTCTCCCTTAAAAAACTGTTTTCTTTGCCATTTACATCACAACAAAGTTAGGTGGACTGAAAAAAAAAGTGAAAATAACATCTAGAGTTTTTCTTTCTAAAAGTTTTATACCCATTTTACAAAAGAAACTTTGAGTCAATTTAAGTTAGAGAGCCTTTGGATTGGCCTGGATGTAACCGAAGCCAATATAGGGTCCATTTGGGAGTACTCAAACTTTGATTGAGTAGCTTTAGTTGAGCTGTTTTGAAGAAGCAACTAAGGGCTCACTTGAGAGGGATGAAGCTTTGATTGTGCTGCTTTCGTTGAACCGCTTTGAAGAACATCCATTTTTTTTTTTACTTTCTATTTTTGAAAATGCATATTATTCATGTTTTATGAAAAAATTACGTATTTTCTGTATTTTGAGAAATGTGCCATTTAATATGGTTTTATCAAATAATATGCAAATATACATATAAATATTCTAAACAAGTTTTTATGAGAGAAAGTAGACTAAGATGGCTTGGTCACATGCATAGAAGACCACCGACAACACCTGTAAGAAGTGATCTGTTGCAAGTTGAAGGAGCTAGATGGACTAGGGGTAGAACAAAAGGGACATGGTTTGAAGTAGCTAGAAATGATTTAAGTGCGCATAATTTAACAATATATGGCATTGAATAGAACACAATGGCAATACATGATTCATGTTGCCAACCCCGTATAGTTTGTATAAGGCTTGGATGATGATGATGTTATGATTTTGTCATGAATTGGAATTAGATTTAAAAGATGACATCTTCTTGCATGTTGGAACTTGGCCATACTACAGTGGAGTTAGTCCTGAAAAGTTGGCTAAGACCATACTTTTTCCCAAAATATTGTTTCTAGGCTCTAGAGTTTCTTCTTTCCAATATGGCATGTGTATGCCTCTAGATCAGATGTATAGCCCAATTATATAATTGACAGAAGTGGCTGGACAACCATTTATTTGCCAAGAAAAACTAGTCCACAGTTCAGTCATCTAAGCCATTTCTAAAGTTTGGCTGAGGAAGGACTTGAAAAGGTTTCTGTACATTTAGATTATAGTACTTGTATGCTTTCAAAGTTCTCTATGTTGGTTTTGTTTGTATCTCAGAGCTAAAATTCTGTGAATGATACTGGTCTTAGCAACTCAAAAAGTTTCTAGAGTTCAGTATGGCAATAATTTCACTTGGTGTAAGCCAAGAGACTGCTCTGAGGTGATGCAAGTCTTAGGCTCAGTTTGGAAAGAGTGCAAATACACATATGTACAGTATAAATACATACAAAATAATACAAAATACAAGGTTTTGCACTCTACAAATTTGTATTTTTACTCCTTCCAAACTGAGCCTTAGGGACAAACTGTGGCATGAATGGCTGTCTTAGCCTTAGGTCAAATTATTTTGGTGGCTTTTAGAAGATTGTAACATTGGAATATTTTGTGCGTATTCTATTGGGTGCAGATCTGAGTGGCTTCATTTAAACAAGGACTTTGGTCTCTGCATAAGATATTGTTATATTAATCTATTATTATAACAATGAAGTCATTTGTAGGAACTTAGGAGTAGCTCCAATAGGTGATAAGATGTGAGAAAGTAGACTAAGATGGTTTGGTCATGTACAAACAGCACCTGTAAGAAGTGACTTGTTGCAAGTTGAAGGGACTAGAAGGGCATGGGGTAGACGAAAAAGGACATGAATAGAATTAGTAATAAATGATTTATCCGCCATTAATTTAATAATGGATATGGCATTAAACAGAACAGACTGGTGAAACAGGATTCATGTAGCCGGTCTTATATAGTTGACAGCTTGATGATAATGATGATTGCTGTGTTTGGGCCTGGGCCAAGCTAGGCTAGGCTTGGCTAGGTTTTGGGCCTATTGCACAAAAATAAAGGCAATGGGCCTCATTTAATTCCTAAACTTGGTTTAGCTTCACGTATTTATCCTTTTATAGATGAAGACAAGGCCTTTATTCCCATTCTTGATCAATGTGGGATATGAAACAGCACTCAATAGTGAGTGTTACGATTGAGTTTTCTCCCAAGTCTCACATTGCTCAAGAATGGGGATGAAGGCCTTGCCTTCATCTATAAAAGGTCTTGCCTAGGAGGAAAATTCTCATACTTGAGTTGACTCTTGTGTTGGCATGTGCTGACTTGTGTTGACTCATGAACATTTTATGTGTTAAAAAATTTATATTTTATATAGAATAGTAAATGTTTAATGTAAAATTAAATATATTTGCATACATATAACATAAAATAACCAATCGAGGGCTGGCTTGTTGGTGTGTTAGCTGGTTTGTTCCAGTGCTGATGCGGAATCAAATCCCACAACCAGCACTTTGGGGAAAAAGGGGTCAGGGGAGTTATTAATGGCGCATAGCACCAAATTCCAATATATATAATATTAAGTATATATAATGAATAACATTTTATAATATAATAATATTTTATATTTAAGAATACATATTATATTATATTGTGGGCTGGGCTGGTCCTGGGCTGGGGCTTGAAGTGTTGGGTAGTTTTTTTGATCAGTAACAATTAAGGAACTTCATTAATGCTTTTAAGCAGGATTTACAAATTTACATGATGAGAATTATTAATGTGAACGATTTACCCCAATAATTTTTGTTTTAGACCCCCATGTATGTTGGCCATGTGAATTTGCTTTATTGGCTTGTTTCTTGTGATTTCTTTTCTGGTTACAGTTTCTGGTTTCTGCTTTATGAATTTTGTAACCTGGCTGTTGACTCCAGCCAAAGTTGAGATGGTATCAGAACTTCCTTGTTGTCTCTCCGTTCTGCATATTTGACAGGACCAACCAAAATCTAAGAAACTAATATTTTCCATAAACACATGTTAGGATTGTTATGCATATGCTTCAATTGTCTAGTTCTGGTATTCTATGTTCTTAACTCTTTAAAAAATGAAATTGGAAGTTTCTCAAGCGTGTCAGTTTGTTGTTTTTACACTTTTTGTAGCAAGTATGCTGATCATGCAGAGGGAGCTTTGTTTGGAATCCAATTCTGAAAATTTTGATTTTAGGTCTGTTCTGCAGATTATAAGTATGCCTTAATAGATTTTAATGTGAATCTGATATCTGCATATGGGAAATGGGTTCAAATGAATGTCTTATGGTTAAGACAGAAGTTTCTCAAAGCTGAAAAAATTATCTGGAATATAATAATTATTAGTTTTCAAAGTCGTCTTGAAACGATTTTTGGTACCTTAAGTCATGGAACATAACATCATTTCTGGATGATAAAATCTTTGACAGACAGCATAGCTTCTTAAAAGGCTTTTTATGGGGTGTACAAGTTATAATTTGTGATTAAAATAGTTGGTCTTGCCATGGACAATGGTTGGTTTATGCTTGAGATCACTACTTTCATTGAAATCAAGTATTCACTTTTGAGTTCCTTATGACACTTTGTTTTATCCCCCCAGTTCTATATGTTTCTTCTGATAAATTGCTCTCGTTCTTGGGTTCCTGGTGAGTGTAGTAAATATGATGACTGAAACAATTGATTTGTAAGGATGGCACATATTATTTCTTTTTTCTATTTTCCTTCTAAAGTGAATCTTTCTTCAATTTTGTAATATTTATTGCTGTTTGCAGTTCACTCCAAAGAAAGGTGGGACTCCCAGGAGGAATGAAATAGTCTTTATATCACCTACTGGAGTGGAGATCAAGAACAAAAGACAGCTGGAGCAGTTTCTAAAGGCTCATCCTGGAGGACCTTCTGCCTCTGAATTTGATTGGGGCACTGGTACATCCCACCTTTTATATTTCTCAAATGTGCATAGACGTATTTGAGTGAGAAACTCAAAACTTTCTCTGTTATGTAGGCGATACCCCAAGGCGTTCTGCAAGAATCAGTGAAAAGGCAAAGGCAACAGAAACCCCAGAAAGTGAGCCCCCAAAGAAACGGGAGAGGAAATCAAGCTTGAAGAAAGGGACAAAAGAAAAGAAAGACGGTGTAGATGGTGAAAGTGAAGCTCATGAAGATGAAGCAGCTTCTGCAACTGCAGAAGGCACCAAGGCAAGTGCAGATGTTGAAATGAAAGAAGCAGAGGATACAGGGGACAAAAAGGAAGAATCCCCTGTGGAGAAGGCAGAGGTTGAGGATGTTGTGAAGCAGGATTCAGAGCAGAAAAAAGAGGAAGACATTGAGGAGAAGAAACCTGCTGATCAAGTAGAGGCTGAAAATAAAGAGAATGCAGTGGAGCAACAGGCAGAGTCGAAGACAGAAAAGGCAGCATCTCCTGCAAAACAAAAAGAAGTTAAGGAAGTGGATGCGGTTTCTGAAAAGGAGGATAAGGTGGAAGAGTCACCCTCGAAGGAGGCCAACGTGCAAGAAAAGGTCTGTGCAGTGAAAGAAGCTGAAACAGAAGCAAAAGCAGGAGAAAGTTTACCTGACAATGGCAACCACAAGGAAAACCTAGATGAATCAAAACCCATTGAGACTCAATAAATTGTGAGGATGCACACCATCAACCCAAGGCATTTCCAGTCAGTTGTTGAGAACTCTTAGGACTTAGGCTCTTCCGTGTATTTCATCCTTTTATTTTTTTCCTTTTCTTTTCTTTTTTAATTTATCAATTTAGGTAGGATCTCTAGATGGTGATGATACTGTGTTGCAATTGCTGTTCAGGTTCCTTACATAATTTGCCTGATGACGGCCTTGTTCATTTGCAACGCCTTGTGCCATTGTAGTTGTAGCTATTATGGTCTGCATAGTTCAGCAACCTTTTTGACACCATTTGATGTGAACTTGTAAACGCATGATTCTTGACAGTGTTAACTTAATTATGATCCCATCTCCATGTATTTTATTGGCTTAGTGATTCACTGATAAGGTCTCTCTCTTTTTTACATTTATTACCTATCTCCTTTTGTTACAGCTCGTCTATGCATTAGAAGGGTTATATTCTATTAGTTTCTGTATTTGTTATCTTAGGTGCCAACTTCTGCTAAGAAAAGGCAAATTACCCCACCTTGTACCAAAGGCCAAGGGTGGTAATATGAATTGACGGTGAAAGTAAAATTAGTAAATTGCGAATTGCCCATTTGAGATTCAATGGACCGACAACAACGTCAAAATGATGAAAATAACTTTTCTAAAGCACAAAATGTTCACAAGGCGTCTGAAGGCTGGAGAGAGACGTGGAATGATATTTCACGAGGTTAACAGACAAAATGCTAATAGCGTAGCATGGTTCTGGAATTCAGAATTTCAGGAGGGGTCTTTGTTGCAAAAGGAAGTTTGGGGGCCTCCCATCCCCCAAGTATAGTGTGGCTGTAATTCACGTATTTACTGAAGCCTACACTATAACCCCAAATAGACCTTTCACCAAGAAGTGTTACATTACTTCTGAAAATAGTAATATCATCACCTAAACTAAATGGAAAATGTTCATGGACAATGGTTACACTTTTATATTTTATATGTAAATATTATATTATAGCACCTATAAATCTATAATACATATTATATATAATATAATGTGTAAAATAATTTTATACACATATTACATGGGATATACATAAAAGTCCTAGGCCCGGAATCAAGTCCAACCAGGCCCGTCCCGGGTTTATGTTTCAGGCAAACCTGGGCTGAGATGGCCCTAGGCCCATGCTATAGCCTATCACAGGCCCTAAGCCTGGCCCGGTTCGGACCACAATCAACCCACTTAGGGCCAACGATATGTAATGTAGCCATGTAGGATACAAAATTTTTCACGGGAAATATTAGGTCCAGGCGTCCACGTGCCCTTCCACTCTTCTCTCCTCTCCCACTTGCAGGAGGAATTCAAGAATTCGAGTTTATGCACCTCTTGGGTTCTTCTTCATCCTTGCAGTCTGCTGTCTGCACATGGTGGGATCATTAACAGAGACACTGAGATAAAGTGGTACATAATTCTTTTACATGGGTCCCCCACCTTGTCGACTTTTCTTTTCACTCTTTTTTTTGGGGTAATAACTTAATTTAAATTGTAAAGGTTCTGGTTGCAAGTATATTCTAAGAGTAGTCTCCACGTCCACCGTGGAATAACAGAATTAATTCTTTCTACGCAGGGGGAAGAAGCAAACTAACAATCCATTCTTTCAATAGGGGAAATGATCTGATTCCATTAACAAGAAAGAAAGAATGCTCTTTCTTCGTCAACTTCCTGAAAAAGGGAGAGAGAGAGAGAGATTTTATTCTGCTGAAAGTTGAAATTTCATCATCAAATGGTGATCCCATTGTACTCAAACTGATTCACAGAACACCAGTGGTTTCAGTTAATTAATTCCTCAACTCAAAGCACCATGAAATCAAAATAATAAGAAAACCAGTACATGTTATTATGTAAACAGCTGATCAAGAGCCAGGAACGAGTGAATTCCTAGCAGCACATGGGGCAGATGATCAATCCATTCTCGTTGCATTCTGGGCAGCGGTTGGGCCATCCATCATCAGTCCTTTCATCGGGAGTGTCATTGACTTTGCAACTGCCATTGCAGTTAAAGCACAGCACGAAGCGTATCCCTGCGCAGCCGTCGCATGGGGCACCGGAGCGATCGGCCGGGACTCCTTGCAAGAGGGGCAGGAGCTTCCCTTGCTCGTGCAAGCTCACCACCTCGTCGGCTCCTCCGATGTATCTTCCCCTTATGAACAGCCTTGGAGGAACCACTCTGCCGCCCATGATCCTCCACAGTTCCTCCCTGAACCCCATGTGCATTGACACATCTCTCTCGTAGAACAGAATTCGAAAGCTGCCCAACAGAAACCTTATGCTTCTGCAGTCCTCGAACGTTTTCCTTATCCCCCGAAGGCTTGTTGTATAGAGAATCACAGAGTCTCTTCCCCCTGGTGGGCACCTCTCCTGGAATTCTGACAGAGTATCGTGTTCTATCCGGGGAAGTTTACAAGGTGGTTCCTCTTCTTTCTCTGTGCCCATTTGTTCAATTCTGGCTTTTCTCTCTGTCTCTCTTGGTCTCATGTGGCCTATCATCACTGCCTGCTGGAAGGTTGCCAGCAGATTTGGATCAAATAGGCTCCCGGAATTCAAGTCCGGTCGCCGGATATTACACGTGTCGGACCCTGACGAGTGGGGATTCCCTGAGTTATCCTTCGCTGGTGTTGGGTCAGGCAGCCGGAAGGACGACACATCGAGCTCTGACAATGGACCACTCCGAAGATTATAGCTTCCAGACTCTGTAAAGATGGAAACCTCTGAGTTTTCCTTGGCGGGTAATGGGTCTTTGGCCTTTATGGGGGGCCCGATGTTCTCCTTGTTCCCAGAGTCGTCACTGCCGAGCTCCGTTTCTTCAATGTCCTCGTCTTCCACGTCTCTCGTCAGTTCTTCACCGTCCATGATTTCAGTCTGCAACATGGGGAGATTGCCATGACTACTGATCTTCTGATCTTTCTCTTGCGAAACTGGTGGACTCTGAAATACCCAGTTGGTGGAATCGTGCGGCAAGGGATCTAAGAACCCATCTGATGCATTCGCCTGCAGAACGAGGCCTGGTTTAGTGAAACTGATGGGTCGCATGGATTTCAGTTTCTTCAGAAATCTTCCCTTCATACCCTTCATCCCTCCCTCCTCTCCTTCTGAACTGCCAGAGTCAAATCATGCTACAATTGATAAAAGAAAGGAGAAATCTGAGAAGGGTAGATTGGATGAAGACATGGAAGCGTGTTTCAGTGATCAGAAAGAGATTCCAAGAGTTCAGAGACTTCCTTTCTTCCCTTGGTCTCGCAGAGAGAAAGAGGGTGTGTTGTGGACTCAACGGCTAAAAAGCTGCATTGCATTTTGAAAATTTTAAATGAAAACAGCATCCAAAAGCAGGAAAAAGAGAGACAGAGTGTGGGCAATGGTCATTATTCACTTCTACGGATCCCTGACTGAATTGAGTGGGTTGGAACAAAGTAGCTTTCTTCTCTTCTCTTTACAGATAGGTCGTCCTCATCAGTCATCCCTACCCCAAACATTTTTAGAGGCAACAGCCCTAGTTACTAGTTGAACGGGCTGGTCCCTTGACTCCCTGTAACTTACCACTGTCACACATTTGGTGATCAGACCCACCATCAAATTCAAAGGGTCCCAATGTGGAGATTATTTTGGACTGAAAAAACAGCTTATGATATGATCTGAATGTGAGCTTTTGATGCAAATTAATATTATTTGGGCAGTGGAAATAGCTCCAGGAATGATTCATCAATCAGAGGGTTGGGAAGCTCTCTTATGTGGGACCCATCAAATTGTGGGTCCTCTCAACATTGAACACTTTGTTTTTGATAAATTTCTCAACACTGAGAACATGTAGTAATTAGCTATGAGTGCCATCTCCTGCTGTGATATGGAAGACTCTAAAGCTGCTTGCCACCTCCCCTCCTGTTGTATTTTGTTTGGTCCAAATTGCAAGCACTAATCTCTTTATTCTCTTTATTCTCTTGTTTTTCCTTTTCAAATATTTGGGTTGAGGAAGGGTACAAAACAGTTGATATGGGGCCCTCTTTCTTTTCTATGTTGTATTTAGTGCCTACGCCCATTGAAATCCAAATGTTGAACTCTAACCTTTTAGCTTTACTTGGGGATATTCCATTTCTTTTTTTTTTGTCTATTTTACTTTGCAATTAAAATTTCATTAATAGGTAGAAATGGGATAAAACTTGCTTATGTTCAATTACTTACCTAGTTTAGTGTCTAATGAAATGGTCCGGTCTGGTCTGGTTTGAAAAAAAGATATTAGATCAAATAAAAAATTCAGTCTAAGAAATTATTAGATTAGACCAAACCGTTTTAGTATAAAAACCAGATCAGAAAACAGCCTGACCCAGTTTCAAATATGTTTTGGGCCATTCTATTTAGGGATGCAGATGGATTGGATTGGATTAAAATCAGGGTATATCCGAATCCGGTCTGATCCGAATGGATAGATATGGATTGGAATTCAAATCCAATAGGGAAGTCAGATATTTGGATTTGATCTGATTCGATTTATTTAAAAAATAATAATAAATTATTAAAATAAAAATAAAATATACCAATTTAAATAAAGAAAAACAAAAAATACAAGTATTTTTTAATTCTTTTCATCACATATATACATATTTTTTCTATAAAATATTAAATAATATAAAAAATTACAAAAATACAATATAAATAATATATTTATAAATAAATAAATAACATATATATATATGTATTATATATATTTATATAAATAAATATATAGCATATATTGGATCGGATAGGGAAGGGGGAGGGGATCCGAATCTGATCCAAAGATCCGAACTAGGGTGATCTGAATTCGACCAAACAGGTTTCACCCTTAATTCTATTGGGTATAACTTAATAAAAAAGCCCAAATAACAAATGTACTTGCATAAATAACAAATATAATTCAAATATCAAATTGAAATGTTAACACTTATTATTTTCATATAATTATATCCACAATTTACACCTGGATGTGTTTTCCCTTCTCTTTTTGGTTGGAGAATATGCTTTTTAATTGTTTTGTTTGGTTAGGTGTTTAATGATTAATTGGGTTTAAAATCTTATTAATTTAATTGATCTTATATAGTAAAGAGTTATGTAATATGTTTAAATGTTAAATGAATACTTGTATATTTGGTTTACAGTTTGGTCTGGTTTTCAAATTCAGGAAATCTGACTGAAACCATAAACTTAAATTTTAAAATTTTCCAGACCAGACCAGACCAGACCAGACCAGACAACCAATTTTAGTTTGGTTCAGTTCAATTTGACAATTGGATCATATAATGAACACCCTGACTAATGTTATACAACGCATGACCATCCCTGCTTGAAAAACTGAAGGCAAATCTGGAGAGAAAGAGATCACTTATTATTCTTTCAGTTAAGCCTTAATAGAGCAAAATATTGATTAGGGCTTTAGAGTTTCAATATAAAATGAAAATTCAGTCCTATTAGACCAACAAAGTTAAATGGGCATTATTCATTCTTTTTTTTTTTCTTCTAAGAAATTGCCCATGTTCACTCAACAACCCTCTGAATATGAGAGAGAAAGAGAGAGAGAGTCTATGAATGAGGCTTACATAAGGAGCAAGAGATGGGCTTTTCCTGTTTTATGATGTAATGTAGCACATGCGCAAGACAAGACAGCGAGCTAGGCGTTTGGATCCTCGTTGTGGGCCATATTGTGAATGATGATGTGTTTTTGTTGGCCCCACCCCAGTTCGTATTGTAATTTTGGGTCGTTTAGATATCTTGTCTGGTAGCAGGATAACAGCTAATCCGTTGCCATAATAACAAGGAAAAGACCCCCAAACAATTTCACCTGTTTCTGTTTCTGCCATTAGGGCTGATCCTAACAGTTGATTGGATGGGGCGCACCTCTTTGATTGGCTATTATGTGTTCAATTCTATACATTTAACATCACACCTACAGTCCATCTTGTTTGAAATTTTGGAACTTTTACCTCTAAAAGTGGAGTTGGGATCTGTTCAAAACAAAAAATTGTTCCAATACATTTCAACATGATCTGTGTTCACACATCACAGACATGATGATGAGTTCCAGTCTCATGGTGAAATATGCTCATGTTGGAAGTGTGTTGGGATAGTTTTTGTTGTGAGCAGATCCCATTGTAAATTTAACAAGGTCATCGCCATGAACATCATCTATTCTGAGCCTCCTCTCAACTACATGAGATCGGTTACATGTGTCTAATATTTACATTTTGCTATCTTTCATAACATGTCTATTGTTAAATTTTGAGCCCTTAAATCATTTCTTACTATTTTAATTCATATTCTATGTAGGGTCTTGTAAGTATTTTTTTTTTACTTTATTTGCTGTGTAAATAAATAGAGGGCAGGAAGAGCAAAGTGAGGACTCCTTTTTCAGGCCCAAAATAAATTGTCATGTACAAGGTAGGTCATTTAGGGTATCCTAACATAATGACCCAATTAAAAGTTTAGAACCCCATTTGATAATAATAGTGAAAATGGTTTTATAACTGGATCAAGTAGGAAGGTTTCCTAAGACTGTGTTTGATTTAAAGGAAAAAAATAGGAAAAGGAAGGGAAAGATAGGGAAACCTATACAAGGTTTGTAAAGATTTTCTTACTTTTCCCTTCCTTTCCCTACCTTTTCTTTCAAACCAAACAGCCTAAATGAACCGTTTTTTGTGGTATGATTAGGATGCACATAAATACAATATGATAGCTCATGTAGATGCCACATTTGCATCAAATGAACCTCTTTTGGTAGAACATCGAATGAATCTTGGATCACTTAAAAAACTTGTTTCTCCAGTGGTTGAGCGGTTGTTTAGTTGACCTCCAAAACCTCTCTTTGCTTTTTGATAATTGCTCCAAAATTTCCGTTGGGAGCATTTGATGGTCTCATATACTTTTTCATATGCTCAGTTTGGAAAGAGTACAAATACAAATATGTCCAGTGCAAAATATTGTATTTTGTGTGTATTTATACTGTATGTATTTGTATTTGCTGTACTTTTTTCAAATACAAATATGTAGAAATGAAAAATCTTGTATTTGCCATACATATTTGTATTTGTACAAATGATTTGAGTGTAAATTCTAACTTATTGTTGTTTCAAAATTTAGCCTATCTTGTCTGATTGCAATACAAATGAAATAAATTAAGACATAAAACAGAATAAAGTAAAACCCCAAAAAAAAATTAAATGAGAGTTTGGATTTTTTTCATTTACACTCCCATACAATTTGTACTAGTGCAAATAAAGTTGCACTGCAACTAAACACAGCCTTAATTGCAAATGCAATTAAATAGTAAAAAGATAAAATACAAAATAAATGCAAGAAACACAAGATTTATGAGGTTTAAAAAGCCATTTATGTGTATGGATAGAGAGGAAATAAAATCAATGCATTACAAATGCAAGAGACTATGAAGATGATACAAATTAAATTAAGAAGCAAAAGAGCAACCCTCTTGAGAAACACCCTTCTGACCTCTGATATGTCTCCTATGAGAGATCAAGATCAAACTAAGAGAGAAGACCGTAAGAATCGAAATGCATTGGTTCTGATTCACCAGAAACAAAATCTAAAGACGGGAGATGTTCCCAATACAAGATTGAGATGTACTGTAGGGCATCGGGGGGCACAGATGTGAACTCTTTTGGTACATGTAGGCGGGATTTTATCCCAAGCCTTTGCTACAACCTCAGGTCTATGCAGAGAAAATTAAGAGCCTATCAAGTATCAACCATATATGAAACTCAAATCCTTCCCAAATTCCAACCACAACCAAACCCCCAAATCTTCTCTACCTCTTTACCTCTTCCCAAATTCCCGATTTTGTTATTGGTGATGCCTCTTTCATTTGTAAGAGGTTGGACTTGACTTGTATACCACTACGAACCTTGGTTCATAGGCTGATTGCATGTGGTTACTCATCACGGAACGTGAACAAGGACCTAGCTACTGACCGCAACATGCTTTTGTGGACCGTGGTGCATTGAGTTCACATCTGTGCCCCACAGAGCGCATCCCAAAAATGCTCTACATGCACATCTCAGTGTGCATTGGGGACATCTCCTTTACTTGGTCATTGAGAGATGTTTCCAATACATGATTGGGATTTGCTGTAGGGTGTTTTCGGGGCACGATCTGTGGGGAGCAGATGTGAAATCTGGTGCATCCCCTATACACTTTTTACATAAGTTCATATTGCACAAGACGTTCAATTCCCATACATTAGGGCCTTCTACAAGTGACACATGGTGGGATTGTGAGAAGGTGATAATGATAGCCTTGCTTTCATAGGCCGGAGGTAGTTGATCCCAATGTTTTTGCACTGCCATTAATCCGGACAGTCAGACCATTCAACCCGAGAACCGTTTAAGTAACCAGTTTCGTTTTACCTCAAATTCGGTTCCTAGCAAAAAACTGTTGAATTAGTTAATGGCCCATTGACCTGGGTAGTTAAACCGCCAACCCATTCAATGGTTTTTGAATGTTTTTTATTTTAATTATTTTTTTATCAAAATGGGCCATTCAAACCAGATGATCAAACCATTAACCCGAAA